TCTTAATTTTAATTATCTATTCTTTAATTAAAATAATTATTTATTTTTTTTTAAGAATAAAATAAATAAAAATAAAACTTATCTTCAAATCCTTAATTAAAAATTTGAGGGAATACGTGAATGTGAATTCTAATTTTTTTTTTTTTTTTAACTTTAAGGTAGTAAATTCTTGGGTGAGGAAGAAAGGGAAGATAATGAGTTGGGACAAGAACTCAAACCCTACAAATAACATCTATTTTTATTGTTATTTGCTCTACTCAGTGGTTGGTTGGCTACTCTTACTTGCACAAAAAAGATTACTAGCACTACGAACGTGTAGTAGGGTTTGGAGTAGTAAAGTTTGGTCTAGTAGTTACCGTGTACGCTTTGAAATCTTACGATCTCATATTGGATCGTTTTTCTTATTTTGATTTTACATTGAAAGTTGCCATTGTTTACTATTGACAAAATTTTTGTCTAAGGTTAAGGCTTTTTTACATGATACTTAAGTATTAGTATTTTGAAAGTCAACTTATGTTTACATAACTAAATTTACCTCTTAGGTCATGATAAAAATTTTATAAGAAATTATGTTTTACAGACATACAAAATTATAAATATTAATTTGTCAACAAGTAAAGGAAGGAATCTCTTATTACTTATAGTCCGTTTGGTTTAAAATGAGAGAATAAATTATAACTAATCAAATTATTTTATTAAATCTTATATCTTAATTTAATTATTAAAATAATAATATTTTTTCATCCTTATTTCTCTTAAATTAAATATACATTAATTAATTTGTATGGTATTACCATTTAAATACTTATCCAAAAGCCTTAGTAGTACAATAAAGAAAATTTAAAAGACAAAAACACATTTCCTCCGTTCCTCAGTAACTGTAAACTGAGGTTTCATATATAGTGTCCGTTTGATGTGATTGAAATTTTTAATCCAAAAACTTTAGTTGTAAAAATGTTATTTTTGTAAATAAAATAATATAAAAATAATATGTTAATTTCATTAAAATTTAAATAAAAAATTTTTACAAAAATACTAATTCAATGTTTTTAAAATTTACAATAAAATAAACAAAATATTAATTTATAAAAATTATAATATCTTTTATAAATTATAATATTTGATACATCTTAAACTTTTAAAATTTAAAAAAACTTTTAAAATTTTAAAATCTGAAAAACTTCCCAACAACTGCAACGAGGATAACCATACTCTTATACTGATTTTATTTACCAAAAATAAATATATAAAGAAAATTTGAAAAAGGTGAGTTGAAAGAGACAAAAGCTAACCTCCAAAAAGAAGGACGATAAATGGTGACGTTAGGCTTTTCTAGAGCCCTTATCTCGAACGACTGCCAAAAATTTCAGGAGAAAAGTTATCTCATCGCAATCCCTTGGAGTCCTTTTTTCTTAAGGCAATCGCAGTCTCATCTCATGTTGTCTTGGACAATGTATTAAAGTCCTCTATGATTGATAATCTTTTCTCTCTCTCCCCCTCCTTTTCTCTCCCTTCTCTCTTGCTTCTGCTTCCTTCTCTGGCGCTGCGTTTGTTTTGATCGGAAGCCTTTGAGCTTCCGAGGTTTTGATGCTTGAGCCGCTGGGCTCCCCAGCCGCTCAAGCATGCTGGAGCCGGCCTGTGCTCCTTCCTCTGATGACCCTTCGGGGTTATTCGGCTTCCTCCGATGACACTTCGGGGTCTATCGGTTTCTGAGTCCCTTTCCGATGGCCCCTTTTGGTTTTTTCTATTTTCTGGTTGTTTGTGTTGTTTTGTGTTCTTGTACAGGTTGTTTTTACAAGTCCGGCGACCCTCGACTCTTTCCGGTGTAGGGGCTCGTTGGTTGTCCAGATTTGGCCTTCGCCGGTCTGGATCCCTGCCGCGGTGTCCTGGAGATCTCACGCCATCCTCTCTCGAGTAGATTTGAAGGGTGTCCCATAGCTGGATCGACCGACCACAGGTTGCGCGAGTGTCTTCACCTCCCTTCCTCCACTGCATCGGGTCTACTCTGCCTTGTTTCTCCAGTGTGTTCTTTCTTTGTATGTTACTCATATCCCTTTGGATAAGACCTTGATATAGATGCCGTATGGCAGTTCTTAATGCATTGCTTCCCTAGCGTTCAAAAAAAAAAAAAGTCCTCTATGATTGATCTGTTTTGGTCACTAAATTTGATTTAATTGGTTAAATTAATTTGATTAGTTTAATAAATTAATTAACTTAATAAATATCATTTAATTCATTTTATTAACTAAAAATTATTTTTATTTTAAGTGATTTTATTTTTAAAATTAATTAAAATCATTTTTATATTTATTGATTAAATTAATTATTAATTTTTAAGACTTTATTTTTAAAATTTTATTAATTTAAAATTAATCTCATTTATTAAATTTATTAAAATACATTATATATATTTTTTAAATAGGCATCTAAAACATTGATATCATAT